CAGACCATCTCATTTTTGTCGTTTTTGATACATGAGGCACCAACTATGTCTTTTTTCGTACGCTTTGCTTGTTTTGCTATACGATACAGAGATTTCATTTGTTCACCTTTGCTTTTAGTGAGCCACTCTCTGCACTGATCTGTCCGAGCCAGTGCAACTTGACGTCTTGCATAGTTGTTCTTCTCACGGAAAATTTTATGGTCATCAACAGACTTTGATTTTTGCCATTTCTTGTATGCAACTTTCTTTTCAGCTATTGCATTTTGTACACTGTCATTCCACCACCAAGTGTCACGTTCATGCTGACGTTTTGTACCAGTTTTTTCACAAACTGTAGTTGCAGCGTTCATTAAAATGGTTTGTATGTACTCCAATCTGTACTGGCTTGTGATTGGTGGTCTAACTGTGTGGCGATAATCTGTTGAAATTTTTCTCGATGAATATTGCTTTTCAGCTTCCACGTTTTGATTCTCCGAGGCATTTGTTTAGAATTATGTTTTGACAGTTCGACAACCAGGTCTGCCACAAGGAGTCTATGTTGGGCGACACTTGATTCGCCAGATATAACTTTGACGTTCTTGAACGTTCTTCGGTGTGGTTGCTTGACAGCGAAGAAATCAATTTGCGTGGCTCATGGTCCACTTTTGTATGTTATGAGATGTTTCAACCTCTTTCTAAAATATGTGTTCAGTAAACAAAACCCGTGACTTTTCAGCAAACTCAAAGATACGGTTGCCATTTTCATTCCGTTTTCCATAGCCAAAACCGCCATGTACGTTGTCAAAACCATCTGTTTTCTCTCCAACGTGGCCATTGAGATCGCTTCCAATCAGGATTGTTTCAGATTTTGGTATTGTTGAGATGGTGTCAGAGAATGCAACCTAGAATTCATTTTTCATCTCTTCTGATTCGCCTGTCTGTGGTGCGTATGCAGAAAAAATAATCATTGTTTGCTTTTCTATGCGAAGCTCGATCCACATGAGACGTGAATTAATCCTTTTAATATCCAGTACTTCTTGGGCTAGCGGTTCTCTCACAAAAATTCTAACACAATTTTTGGCCGTCTTTTGACCATTCCAGAATATTTTATATTTTTCTTTGTCTGAGTTGACATGACAGACACCATTCGATTTCCATCGGGTTTCCTGAAGGCAGCAGATGTCAATCCTTCTACGCTTGAGCACATCTGCGATTTCCATGCTGCGGCTAGTCAGTGATCCAACATTCAGCGTTTCAAATCTAAGTACCATAAAGGGGCCATTCTGAATTTTTCTGCAACATCCCTCCGCTATTGCATACTTCCCAGGGATTCTTGGCACCCCTTGACCACTTAAGGCCTGCTGGGGACTAAGGGCCGTTGTTTATTTTTGTGATGGCATAAGAGTAATTTGGGAAAAGTTTTTACATTCGGACACCCATCCTGACGACAATCACCAGTTATAAGCGGTGGGCCTAGCCTTTTGCCCAAAAGTACGCAAGGCAGCGTGGATGCAGTTTTATGTGATGCCCAGGACTTTGGCAGATTTGACAAGGTAAATGAAGTGCTTATGAGGTCATGGTTGTTAGGTTATTTGCAGACTAACAAAATACTGAGTACGCTACTTGGTCTTCAGAATTTTCGCGCCAAATATTAAGTAAACTCTTTCAAAATCTGGAGTGGCCTGCTTCTACCTCAGTTAAAAAACTTTCAACCGGAAAATGGATATTATGTAGTGGTAATAGCAATTAGAACAGTAATTATGTCATTCGTACAGCATAGCCTATTGCTTACAAGGTGGTAAAAGTTCATTTGTTTCTTCAAGCTTTTCGATTCAAACAGTCTTGGTTTTGATGATTTGATTTTTATTCTGTATTAGCGCAACCCAATCAATTCACTTCTAAAGGGATAAATTTAGAAAAATGAATAATTTAAAGTTGTAATTTATAAAGAAATGCCATTAAAATGTTTACACAGCTTTTTCTAATTGTTGAGACATAAAAATAACACATTGCAGATATGCGGTGGAGGACCTCACCTGAGTTTGTGGCATTTGGATCAAACGAAAGTTACAACAATATTTGACGATGAAAACTTCATCAGTAATCACGTCACGCTATTCGACGGAACGGTAATTAAGTTTGGCTTTATTTTTGAATTATTTTATTACTTATCAAAGAAAAAGATGGCTTTTTTTGTGTAGTTCACACGATAAAATAACAATAGGAACGCGTGCACATATGAATTTAACCATTGTATCAAAAAACGACATCACATCGGTCTAAATGGAAACGTTGAAACTTTTTAAAATTGCAGGTGATATCTGGAGAAAGTGGAGGGAATGTGGAACAATGGTCTGTTAATGGTGACAAGGTGGCACGTGTTCCAATGTCGTTTTCAAACGTTTTTCACGTAAATATTTTAGACAAACATAAGGTTATCATAAATTTTCATAATTTTTTAATTTTTTTTATTGTTATGATACCTTTTTTTTATAAAATTTTTGCGGGAGAAGATCTTTTTATGTTTAGCTTAATAAGATTAATTTAGCTGCTTCTGTGTATACGTATTTTCAAGTTAGATAAACAGTTATTTATTTGTTGAAAGGTCTGAGCGTAAATGCCTCAGCGAAAACTGAATGAAATGTCTCAAAAACTCTCTCTAACAATCATGATCACATTAAATTCAAACATGTGCTGAATAAATGTTTCTTATTGCTTCCACCTGATGTACCCCATTAAATTTTTTGATATTACAGTTCGGGTAGTTAATTTATGAAAATTATTTTGATGTTTCAGTCCTTCAAATGTCATTTAAAATGCAAAGTTTAAAAGATTGCATGGTTTGAAAATTCATGTGAAAGTTTTTTTAAATAATTTCGAAAGTTTATACATTTCATTTATTGGTTTCATTTACTGACTTTATTTATTTCTTGGTTTTGTTTATTTACAATCTTTTTTCTATTTTTTTTCTAGGTGATGACAGTAGTTGGAAATTCTCATAAAATTGATGTCTGCAAGAACTTTTATTATAAATCTTATTCCGTTTCCATGTTCTGATTCCATCTAGCGTTTTTATTATTCCATTTCTATTATTGATATCAAGACAATATCGAAAACGATTACTTATTGACTTTTTTATTTTAACCATAAGACTCAAAAATATAATATTATTTTAAAAGTCGAACCAAAATAAAAAGTGGTGGAATGAAAAGTGCGTTCCTCCAGTCTGACTACACTACAGGGTTGTTTGGTGTATAATATACGACGTTTAAACCAGTACCGACTTCTATAACTTGACTAGCGACCACCTACCACCTTGACCATCGACCTCATCCACCACTTGACCACCGACTTCTACCTCGCTATCAGCAATCGCTTTTGTTTTATATTCAATGTATTTTAATTTTTTTTCTTTTATAGTCGGGTCTGATGCCAGGCGTGGTACTGACATTTCACTTTGATCAAACATTACGAATTTTAAAAACACCTTTCATTTTTGGGTGGTAAAATCAATCTTTCTATTCTGAATAATGATTGATTGAATGATTGTTACTAATTTAAATTTGAAATTTAATAAATAATAAAAACAAGGAAAATATTTTTTGAAAATTTTAATTAAAAGAATCGGTAGAGGTTTATTAAAAACGGCAAATATTTTTTATTCGCCAGGTTCTATAAACAGTTGGTTAAAATTGAGCTCTAAAGAAAACGTTCAAAAACGTCTCGTCCGAGTCTTTGAAAAACCAGAATTGCTTTGTTAGTAAAGGAATTTATGAAAAATAGATTAAAAAAAGAAAAATATTTACTTGTTAAAAACCTTCTATTTATTTTCACAAAAAATTCAACACAAAATTTACTAATTAACAACTTCACAAAAACATAAAAAAAAGCAGAGTCTAAATCGCAAAATGAAAATGCTTCTAAAATCTTCTAAAAAGTCCAGGACAAACCTGTAAAATAAAGTCAATTATTATTCGACTTTAAATGTAAACGTAAAAACGGTACTTTCATATCAACTTGTCTAACAGTGCATGAACTTATAAAATGATAAAGGTCTACTACGATCTTCCACAGTTCAGAAGAAAAACTGAAACAAGGGCAAACTGCGTATATGAACACGTACCAGACGACACGCAACACGTGATAAACTCTAACTCTTTGCTACTTCTATCTCAATCTGGTTTCAGACCTGCTCACATACTGAAGCAACCTTTTCTTTTCTCTGGTGACAATTGTAATCTTACTCTTCTTATTTCTCTACTAGACTGTGCTCTTGAATTGCTAACAGTTGAATTTTCAGTTTTTTATTTTGTTTCAATTTCGTTGTTTTGTATTATTTTCATACTTTGTTGAAAGCAGATTGGTTAAAGATGTACGTTCCGCTCGTAGATAAACATTTTCATGCCAACAGCCCCTAAAGTTATTATTATTCTCACAATAAAAACGGGTCAAAGTCAAATTACTGCACTGCGTGTTCTGTTCTGTCTAGTTGAAAATTGAAACTGTTTTTTATGTTTTTAAAAATTATTTGTTGTTTGACACTCATGACTGAAAAGGCAATGCTATTTAAAATCAACTAAACTAGCAAGGTTTATACATGGCGAATTCATTTGCCTTGCTTTCTTTAATCGAACCATAAAAACTGACATTTTATATATATATATATATATATGTGCGTGTGTGTGTGTGTGTATAATAAAACACTTGAATTTTCAAAAGCGGGACATTATATATATATATATATATACATTAGGAAGAAGACCAAGTTCTATACAGTTGTTCAAAAAATCCACCGACGATTCAGCATTAACAAGTTTTATGGTTGATTTTCTAATATTTTGAACTAGTTCTTTACAATTAAGTCTATTCAAAATGTTGAAATCCATTTTATAATCGTTTATGATTTTAATTGTTAAAATTAATCAAGCAAGATCCCATTTTTATAATCGTTTATTTTTTTTTTTTTTATATTATTATCAAAGTTATGCATATAGATCTATTTCGACGTAAAGTCATCATCAGTGCAATATATATTTTAAATAAATTCTATTAATAGTTAATTAGTTGTATTTTTTAATATATTAAAATAAAATAAAAGTAACGAAATAAAAACGCAAAGGTTCATTGAAATTAGTAAACAAAATATTTGAAATTATACGATTGTTCATGCTACGTGGCCGTTGTCAAGATGGCAACCAACAATGTCACAAATTTGAAGCGCGAAATTAATTAGAATATCGTTTCTATTATTATTATTATTATTAATATTATTAATTATTATTTTTATTATTATTGTTATTATCATTATCGTTATCATTATTATTATTATTATTGTTATTATTATCATCATCATCATCATTACCATTATTATTATTGTTGTTGTAGTTGTTCTTTTTATTGTTGCTGTTGTTGTTGCTATCGTTGTTTGTATTGTTGTTGTCGTCGTCATCATTGTTATTAAAAGTATTATTATTATTATTATTATTATTATTATCGATGACGTTAAAATTATTAGCAACAATGTTGACGTTGTTAATTAATCTATGCGTAGGGAGAGTTGTTTTAATTTGTTGTTGGTTGTTCAATGTAGGTTTTTGCATTTCTATTAGAATGGCTTCAGCGAGTTTAAGATTTTGATATTGTTGGGTACTATAGATGATGGTTGTGTTGTCATTTAGTATACCTCTGGTGATTGTTGTGTTGTGTTTGTCAAGGAGATGGGTTTTAATGGCACCTTCTCTCTTATGCATCGTCAATCTCCGTGATAACATCTATAAAATAGATTTCAACATTTTGAATAGACTTAATTGTAAAGAACTAGTTCAAAATATTAGAAAATCAACCATAAAACTTGTTAATGCTGAATCGTCGGTGGATTTTTTGAACAACTATATATATACATATATATATCTGGTGTACCACAAGGGTCGGTTTTGGGACCGATACTGTTTCTTTTATATACGTCCGACGTACTAGAAATAATAGATAAATCTGGGGTGTTTTGTCATGCTTACCGCAGATGACATACAGATGATTGTCAGCTGTCCTGTCGATAAATTTCAAAATGGTTTTACTAGATTAGTGCATTATTTGGTTGAGGTGAGTGTGTGGATGTTATCAAATCAAGTGAAACTCAACCAGGGTAAAACTAAACATGAAAGTTGGCACATGGCAGCAGTTGTCGCGAGTCAAGATTGATTTTATTACTTTTGATGGACATAATATTGAGTGTAGCAGTAATGCCACTAATCTGGGAATGATCTTTGGCTCAAAATTGACGTTTGCTGATCACATCAAACTACTAACTAAAGTGTGCGTTGCTCAATTACATAAAATACTTTCTATAAGAAAATCTTTGAGCAAAAGTACGATTGAAGGTTTAATACATGCGTTCATTTACTCTCGGACTACTGCAACAGTATGTACTATGGTTTACCCGATAAATCTATTAAAATGTTACAGTCTATTCAAAACCGTGCAGCAAAAATTGTTCACGGTGCGTATAAATTTGATTATGTATCTCCGATTCTTGCTCAGCTTCATTGGTTGACTGTCGACAAGCGAACAATTTTTAAAGTTTGCACAATAGTGTTCAAGAGTGTAAATAATTCCACACCAGAGATGTCAGTCGAAAGCATCTTGTTCCCTCGGCCTGCGTTCGGACGATTTAGACTATCTGTCGGTCCCATTGATTCAAACGAAACTTGGATCTAGAAGCTTTGCCGTGTTTGGTCCTAGAGTCTGTAACGGTCTTCCCAAAGACTTGCGAGACCCTGCTCTGGGTGTTGAGAAATTTAAGAAGATGTTGAAAACATATTTATTTTCCCTGTAGTGTCAATCATTGATGTTTATTTTTTACCGATCTAATGGTTACTTATGTTTGATTTATTTGTTTGATGAACGTTTGTCTTCGACTATTATATATATATATATATATATAATTTATATATATATATATATATATATATATATATATTGGGACGAGGTTTCCTGCTATGCAGATTTCATTAAATATTGTTATAACCGTGCTACCGAACGCACTATATATATATATATATATATATATATATATATATATATATATATATATATATATATATATATATATATATTGGGACGAGGTTTCCTGCTATGCAGATTTCATTAAATATTGTTATAACCGTGCTACCGAACGCACTAGATTCTAGCGTATTCTAGAGTGTTCTAGTGACTGGAGCATTCTAGACTAGAGTATGCTAGAATCGGATCATCTAGAAGAATCTAGAAACGACGCTTGCGAAGAGTATATAAGCGCACGTCGCAAGAAGATTCGGGATTAGTGAAATCCGTGATTAGTGAAATCCGTGATTAGTGAAATTCGTGATTTTGCAAATTCGTGACTTTGTGATTTTGTGAATAGCGATTCGGTGAATTATTTAAAGCGATATTTGATTTGTTTTGTTGACGTTGTCATAGCGATATATTTTAAACAATTTAAAAGTTAATTGTTGCGTTAATTTGAATTTGCTAGAAATAAACTATTAGTTAATTTTTTCTGTAAATAAAGTTTAATAACTAATAACTGTTTGGAGTATTTTATTCAATCGAAAATTTGAACCCGTCGCACCGTAAATCGGTTACGACAGCGAGTATTATAACATTGGTGTCAGAAGTGGGATCTTCAACCAGCGAATTACTACTCATAGAAAAAGAACACGATGTCAAAACTGTGTGGTTTGAACGTAGTTCAGCTACGAGAAGAACTACAGAAACGAAGCCTTGTCACAAGTGGCAACAAAGAAGTACTAGTAGCACGTCTGAGAGAAGCTCTCATTGACGAAGGTAAGAACCCAGACGAATTCAAGTTTGGTGGTGCTGACGAAGACAATGAAATTAGCACAGGCACGTTTACAACCGCTAAAATGATGGAACTTCTGCTTAGTATGTCAACTAAAATGAAACAGATCAAGGAACAGTCCGAACGACAGACAGAGGAGTTAAAACACGTAAAATTGGAAGTGGCAGAACAGATTGAAAAACAGTCAACAAGAATAGAAATGATCGAGCAGAAACTTGATCGTCAGACCGTTGAGGTAATCACAAGATAGACAAATTGAAGCGAGAATTGGAGCAATCCAAAGAAATGGCCATGCCGTTAGATCACGCATCCGGAAGAACTTTGAAGGTACCAGCATTTGACGGAGAGGTGTCCTGGAACGTTTATAAACCCAGTTCGAAGCAGCGGCAACTAGTAACTGTTGGAACGGAAAAGAGCGAGCAACAGCACTGATACTGGCCCTGCGAGGTTCAGCAGCAGAGGTTCTTCAGACGATTCCGGCGGAAAACCACTTCAACTATGAAGTTCTGGTTAGCGCGTTGGATTTACGTTATGGTGAAAAACACATGAAACAGATTTATCGGTCTCGGCTTAGAAACAGAACGCAACGATCTGGTGAATCCATTCAGCAGCTGGCACAAGATATCGAACGGTTGACATTGCTGTCGTATCCGACACCAGACCCCGAGCATAGAGACGAAATTGCCTTGGATACGTTTATCAAAGCCCTTCGTGATTCGAGCAATCCCTTGTCTTGTCAGATAAACGAAAACTTAAGGATGCCGTTGCGCACAGTCTCACTTTTGAATCGGCAAAGCAAGCATCAAAAAGTGACGTACGTCTACGCCAAGTACATGAAGAATGCTCTTGCCAGAAGGTGGTTGTAAAACGCGAACCCCAACAGCATGGTGTACCCCAATGCTGGATTTGTGGTGAAAAAGGCCATCTACGTCGTGATTGTAAACACCGCCTAAAAGATAACTACTGCCGAAATTGCGTGACAAGATGGCGCAAAAGAAGAGAAGATGATCCTGTATCACGATCGGCCCCTTCTAACGAAGGGGCGGAAAACTAATAACAACTTTGTGGGGCAGAGGTTGGCTAGTAGAATTGACGCCCCCAGTACCGTAATTAACGTTTCCAGACTACATCGAAATCGAAACGACCTATGGCTGAACGGAAAAGTTGATCAACGAGAATGTGTAATTACAGTCGACACCGGAGCAACAAAATTGATTTTAAGATCTGATTTGGTACCCAATCTGAAGAAAGAAACTTCTAACAAATACATCCTTCGAACAGTTACCGGAGGAACAGCACCAGTCTATGGAAAGATTGTCCGTACTGTTCAGCTAGGCGACTTGTTATTCGAAGGTTCATTCTTAGTCGCGGATATTATCGACGAATGCATAATAGGTGTTTACTTTCTGACAAAATATGGGTTCAAAATTGACTTAGAAAAACGCATTCTTAGATGGAGAAATACAGAAGTGATAATGGGGGATAGCGACGAAAAATGCATTCGAGTGAAAGTCGATTGTGACATAGAACTACCTCAATCATCTGAAAACATCGTATGGGGCAAGTTGAATTGCGATCTTGGGGGCCACCAGTTCTATTTGATGGAGCCAACCTCAACGACAAATGTACAGAACGCGGTCATTGGAAAATGTCTGGTAGAAGCGAACGAAAATGGTCTTATTCCTGTCAGAATAATGAATACCGTTAAACACACTATTAAAATTAAAAAAGGCGAGGAAATAGGTAATTGTCAATCAATAAATTTGGTGAAATCATTAGATATGGAGCAACAGAAAAAGGTTCTACCAACTGACAAAGGTAGACTCAAAGAACTTACCAAAAATCTACTGGATGAACTCAATTTGTATCAAGAAGACCGTCTAAAAGCCGAGGCGTTGATTGTTGATTTTGCAGACGTGTTTTCAAGGTAAAACAGCTCTGGTAACTCACCGAATTGATACTTAGGATTCGAAACCGATCCGACAAGTACCACGACGTCTTCCTCTAGCAAAACAAACAGAAGTAAACGAAATGATAACGACAATGCAGAATCAAGGCGTCATCGAACCGTCATCAAGTCCCTGGATTTCGCCAGTTGTTTTGGTAAAGAAGAAGGACGGCACTACCCGTTTTTGCGTTGATTATAGGAAGTTAAATGATGTGACTAAAAAGGACAGCTATCCGTTACCGAGGATTGATGACATCATGGACACCCTATCTGGCTCAAGTTGGTTCTCTACGCTTGATTTGAAAAGCGGATACTGGCAACTAGAAATCGACAAGAACGATCGCGAAAAAACAGCGTTTTCTATCGGATCGGGGTTGTGGCAATTCACCGTCATGCCATTTGGATTGTGCAATGCTCCAGCTACATTCGAGCGACTGATGGAATGTGTATTGCAAGGTCTTAACTGGAAAACCTGTCTTGTCTATTTAGACGACATAATTGTTCTAGGAAGAACATTTGATCAACACGTCGAAAACTTACGGGAGATCTTCTCAAGACTTCGGGTGGCAAATTTAAAGTTGAACGTTAAAAAGTGCAGGTTATTTTCTACAGAAGTTAACTATTTGGGACATATGGTATCTTCAGATGGAGTTCGAACAGATCCCAGCAAGATAGAAATTGTGAAAGACTGGCCAACTCCAAAGGATAAAAATGAATTGCGCAGTTTTCTGGGATTGGCAACGTACTATCGACGTTTTGTAAAGGATTTTGCAAAAGTTGCCAGACCTCTCCACCAACTTACCGAGAAAGACCGAGTTTTCAACTGGAATACCCTATGCGACTCAGCATTTGAAAAGTTAAAAGTTGAATTATGTGATGCTCCTTTGCTAGCATATCCAGTTCGTGGCAAGACGTTTGTGTTAGATACTGATGCAAGTAACAACGAAATCGGAGCCGTTTTGTCACAGCATATAGACGGAGAAGAAAAGGTGCTAGCGTATTATAGCAGAAGATTCACAAAGCCCGAACGAAACTATTGTGTGACCAGGAAGGAGTTACTAGCAATAGTCAATGCAACAAAACACTTCCACAAGTATCTTTATGGACAGAAATTTCTTCTCCGAACTGATCATGCAGCGTTAAGATGGCTCCTCAACTTCAAGGATCTTGAAGGACAGATGGCCTGATGGTTGGAGCGTTTACAAATGTACGACTTCGAGATCATGCACCGCAAAGGTAATGCTGATGCTCTCTCCCGTCGACCATCTTTACCAGGATGCAAATATTGCAGTCGTCACGAGGAGAAGATACAATCGGAAGACATAAGAGCAACAACAATATCAGCAGATGACGGTTGGACACCGACGGATCTTGCTGATGCACAGTTTGCGGATGAGGACCTACAACATCTGATCACATGGAAGAAGGAGGGCAAGCGACCGGACTGGCAAAGCATCTCAGAATATAGTGCCGTGTTAAAGGGTTATTGGGCTCAGTGGGACTCATTGTATTTGGAAGTGGATTTGCTGAAACGAAAATGGGAATCAGCTGATGGATCAAAACATCGCATGCAAGTTGCAATACCAAGGAGTAGAACGACCGAAATCCTTGATGAAATGCATGGCAGCCCTTCTGGGGGACATTTAGGAGTGAACAAGACCCTTGACAAAATACGAGAAGGATTCTACTGGCTTCAAGTTAGAGAAGATGTAGAGAGCTGGTGTCGAAAATGTAACACATGCGCTTCAGTCAAAGGACCCAAAAGAAGATTAAAAGGAGCAATGCAAATCTACAATGTTGGTGTCCCCTTTGAATGGATTGCTATAGATATTGCTGAACCCTTTCCGGTATCAGATTATGGAAACCGTTACATTCCGGTTGTAGCGGACTATTTCAGCAAATGGCCTGAGGTGTTTCCAATACCCAACCAAGAAGCATGTACCGTCGCTGAGGAAATTGTACTCAATTGGATTAGTCGATATGGTGTCCCATTGGAACTCCACTCAGATCAAGGTCGAAATTTTGAGTCACAACTGTTTGGTGAAATGTGCAAGCTGCTGGGTATAAACAAAACTCGAACGACACCTCTTCACCCACAGTCTGACGGTATGGTGGAACGATTTAACCAGACCCTGATTGAACATCTGGCTAAAGTAGTTGACGAAAATCAACGGGATTGGGATCGTCATATACCATTGTTTCTTATGGCATACCGGAGTGCTATCCACACAACTGCTGGAGAAACGCCATCAAAAGTTCTGTTTGGGACTACCTTAAGAACTCCAGCTGATGTGAAATATGGCGTACCACCTGAACCACACCAACCATTAACTAATCTTCGACAGTGATTAAACCATATCCACCGTTACGTACGCCTTAAAATTATGAAAAACACGGAGGCGGCCAAAACCAGATACGACTTGAAAGGAAGCAGTGGCGGTTTTGCTGTCGACGAGTTAGTTTGGCTGTACAACCCACAGCGAAAGAAAGGACGTTCTCCAAAGCTCCAGCGAGGGTGGGAAGGACCTTATCAAGTCATCACCCGCTTGAATGACGTCGTCTACCGTATTCAGGAAGATAGGAAGCCGAGAGCAAGAATGAAGATCGTTCATTTGGATAGACTGGCTCCGTACCATGCGGACACCGGAACGAAAGCTGTTCGGGACTAAGAAGGGGGTAATGTTATAACCGTGCTACCAAACGCACTAGATTCTAGCGTATTCTAGAATGTTCTAGTGACTGGAGCATTCTAGACTAGAGAGTGCTAGAATCGGACCATCTAGAAGAATCTAGAAACGACGCTTGCGAAGAGTATATAAGCGCACGTCGCAAGAAGATTCGGGATTAGTGAAATCCGTGATTAGTGAAATCCGTGATTAGTGAAATTCGTGATTTTGCAAATTCGTGACTTTGTGATTTTGTGAATAGCGATTCGGTGAATTATTTAAAGCGATATTTGATTTGTTTTGTTGACGTTTTCATAGCGATAGATTTTTAACAATTTAAAAGTTAATTGTTGCGTTAATTTGAATTTGCTAGAAATAAACGATTAGTTGATTTCTTCTGTAAATAAAGTTTAATAACTAATAACTGTTTGGAGTATTTTATTCAATCGAAGATTTGAACCCGTCGCATCGTAAATCGGTTACGACAGCGAGTATTATTACAATATTTTTGCCCACTTAGCATTAATCAACTTTTTAAAAATACACTCAACGATATGGAATTGTTGTAAATCGTAGTTATTATCGTATTTATTCAATAGTTTTGTATTTATGTATAGTTGTCATAGTGTTTTTTGTACACTCATAATCATCGATTTCGCAATAAAGTTAAATCAAAAAAAATAATCGGTCGGCATTGTTCTTTGTTTTTGTTAAAATCATAATCATCATCGAAATGAAACTAATTTAAAATGTCGGCATACGAAAGTTTTCTTTGATGTTTTGTTAGAATCAAAACCATCACTAAAATCGTAATGAAGGTAAAAAATTTGGTTTTATTGGTGTAATTGTGTTAGAAACTTCATAGAAATCGGCGCGGCACTTTGTTTTTCGTGTGCTTCAAATTTTTAAATTCATCATTAAATGCCTGTTTCAATATTTAACTAATGGTTCTCGGTTGAACAAAAAGCGGAACAATACGCGTCTCGCGGACACCGAAGCGGGACATTGAGGGCGAAATTCGGGACTGTCCCACCAAATTTGGGACGGTTGGCAACTATGCTTATCTTCTGCTATTGATACTGTTGATCATTTTATTCTCTTGAGACTGTTAGATAATTTTTTTAATGTTACTGATTCTTGTCTATTTTGGTTTTCTTCTTGGAATTGTTTTTCTTTTGTTGTTCTTAATAAAACTGCTTCTAACTCTTCTACTCTTACTTTTGAGTTACCTATAAGATCTATTCTCGTCCTTCTATTTATACTTTATACGTCTAAACTACTTTGTATTATTAACACTTTTTTTCTACTAGTCAACTATAAGCTGACGATTCCTACATTTATACATTACCCTTCCCCACGTAATCTGAAAAGTGTTCATCTTAATTTATCTCTATGTGAGACATAGAGTAAGAGAAACATGGTTATGTCTCACTTCTTTTATCGCTTGGTCTAACTATGTATCTTAAACTAAATCCAAGTTTGAATTAATATGTTTTAATAAACCTAAACACTTTATTAATTTTTCTGCTATTATTTTACCTGATTCTAAAACTCTTGATGTTTCTCATAAATTTCGTACTCCGGGCTTTATCTTTGATTCTATCATGTTTCTTTCTTAGATTAATAGTGTTGCTAAAAGTTCTACGTTCATCTTAAATAAAAAACTTTTGCCTTTCCTTGGTGATCCTACTCTTCATCTACTTGTTTCTTCATTAGTTTTATCTAGGATTGATTACTGTAACTCGCTCTTCTATGGTCTTCCTTATTCTACACTCTATCCTTTAAGTAAAGCTTCTAACTCTGCTGTTCGTCTAGTTGCTCGCGCCCCTATCTATTCTCATATATTTCTTACTTTGGCTAACTGGCTACCTATAAAATATGAAGTAATTCTTAAAATTTGCAAATTTTTGTATAAGTCTCAATCGAAATTATTTCCCAAGTACTTAATCAGATACATTAATAAAATCTATATGCCCCGGTTTACAATTGTCTTGTCTCACTTCTTCTTAATTCGTGTTGAACGTTCTTATGCTAAATCTGCGTTTGCTTTTTTGGCCCTTTCTTTCTGGAAGTCTCTACCTCCTTCTCTTAATACTTCTACATCCATTTCGAAGTTCAAGACCCATCTGTTTTAAAAATTCACTGAGAAACATCGCGGAAATGACACATTACAAATTAATTGATTGGGGGATCTTTTTGTCATATTCGAATCTGGTCACTGCGTTACATAACCAAGCGGCCTTAGCCAATAGACCATCACGCCTCTCTATGTAAATGTACCACATTACCAATAACTTTTAATAACTTAAGGTAAAGTTATAATATATCTTTAGTTAAAAGTTAAAAATATCTTGAACCATTTTTTAACTAGGTAAAGCTAAATACATGGTTCAAGATATTTTAACTTTTTCTCAATTTTAGTTGTTTAATTTAACTATAAAACACTTTCGACACCCAATAGTTATAAGTCGATATTTGAAAATTTAAAACTACATTCGTGAAACTAGAGCTATTGGTGATAATTGCGGGAGTGAGACTTTTTCAAACGACTGCTATGTAACTGTCGTGGCTCGTAAATATTCATCGGATGTTTGCTACGTTCTTTGTCCCGTACGTTTAAAACTTTAAATAGTTATTTATTGATGATGGGTGAGAAACGTTTTCTATCAATTTATTTTATTTTATTTATTTTTATTTACAAAGTTTATTTTTATTTACTCTTTCAATATTACTAACTACCTCTTTTTTTCTCTACTATGGTATTATTATTGCTACGCTACCACTATACTATAACTATCTGTAGTTGGCTACTAGTACTCAATCAGAATTAATCAGTCAATATATATAAAATTATAAATTAATATAGATAGCTAAATTCAACTGGGCTTAACATAAAATTTGCAAAACAAACAATTTCAAAGTATACAAAAATTAAATAAAATTATAAAAGGAAATAATAATAATGAAAAACAAGCATAATTAATATTTAATAAATAAAAATGAAACTTGAAAACATTCAAATAGCAAGCACTCTCTAAAGTCTAAAATTAAACTATAAGAGTAAGTGATTTACAGAATTAACGATAAAATAATGAGTTAGAGTGTATCAAACGAACAAAAGTCATTCAATCCTTAAAAAATACAATAAATATCTAATTTAGTCTTTAAATTAGGCAAAATGAACCATTTGACTGACAATCAACCAATCAAAACATCAATCCTATAATGAATCAAAGAGCACTACACTACAGGGACTACCCCAATGAAATAAGCCCATAAAAAAAAAATAAAACACTACTACTCGTAGTAGTGTAGTGCTGCAGTAAATGATTAGATGTTCAACAGCATCGAATCAATTATCAATGGATTATTTAACATAGAAAACTAGACAAACTCTCAAAACGATATGATTATAGTTATGGCTAATATTAATATAATATTAATGATAATATTAAATTAATTATAATATTAACAATAATAATACTAATTAAAACAAATTCAATATATATTGATATTTTTCCAAAAGTATGGCAACTGCTGCCTTGTCTACTTGTCGCTACTGTTTATTCTTTTCTTAAATTTTTAAGCAATCTCATTAAAATTACATTAGATTAAATCATTATTCAGACATTAGAAACAAGACAAAGCAGTTTTTCTAATTAATTGTTATAATAATTCGAATATGATCACACTTGCATTTTGTTTTCCTAATTTTTAATTGAAACATCATCTTCATCCTTTGTAGTCAGTTGATGGTTGGTCCAAGTCACTTCTGTGACAATTGTTAGCATCGATACACAGCCAAAAAGATGTTGATGGCTAGAAGTGGCCATATCTGATTTTTATCTCCTTTCTAGTGAAAGCAGTTGAAGCTTAAACTGATAAATCTCAAAAGATCATTTGTGTCTTTTTTAACACCTTGCCATTTTACTAATTTGAAATATCTGTTGGTGCTCAATATTTTCACTCAATGTTCATTTTTGAATCAATGGAAAGGCTTGAATCAATAGTTTTTCAGTGACAGAATTTTCATTACAGCATTTAATCTTGTTTTAATTAAATGTTTTTTATTCCAACATCAACAAAATTTTTTGTGTCACAGTTAATATTATTTAAAATCATTGTGTTGTCAGATTTTACTATTTCTGATTTTGAGTTTTTGATGCCTAATGAAAATCAGATTTGTCATTTAATTTGAAAAGTAATTTTGCTGTTTATTATATTTTTTGCATTTGATTGATATTTCCTTGTTAACTGAGTTGGTTTAAGAAAAATTTATTGTCAAATTTCTCTCAATTTTTTGTGAGCTAGCATTTTCTTTTTTGAATATAAATTAATCTGTTGCTTAACTGTTGCATTTTTTTGTTTCTAAGTAAAAGATGTAGTGCCGTAAGATGATTGTTGACTTCTTTTGTGGGTTTGGCGAGTTTGCTGGATATGTTGGATCAGATCACAAACCCTAAGTCTGCCTCATCACTTGTTGCTGCTATGTCCACTCCAGAAAAAGTGCACACCACCATGCTCCAGTGCATTTCACTAACTGCCTTTATATCTACATCATAGCAGGTGAGTTCACTAGCAACTACTGTTAATCTTCTCTTCGGTTGATCAGTCTTGATGTTGTCCAACAGGGTTCACATGTTCCCACGTTGAGTATTTTTTTGTGTGGCCGCTGAATAAGATCCCCAACAACCTCAGTGAGTTGACCAGGGTGTATGTGAAGCAAACTATGTTTAAGGCACGGTTTCTAGTTTCTTCCTCTATTTTGTTTCAGTTGATGTCTAATTTCGTCAGCATTTCATTTCGACCTGTGTCAATCTATTTTTTTGACGGCATCCAGGGCAAATCCAGATCTTTGGGGGACCTGGACTTGATTCAATTCCGGCTCTCAGGAAAAGGCAACGGAGCAGGATGGCCGGAATGGCCCGCCCCGTCGACAAAAAACCCGTGGACATCCAGGGAAGAGGGTTTTGTTGCAAATGTTTGTTGGAGCGTCTGATTTGACGGTCCAATCGGCTCCACTGCGAGAAGGCAGTTGCTCCAGAGCCAGAGAGGTAGACGAAAAGGTGACCTAATGAAAAGGTGGAATGGTATCAGAGCAAAAGATCGCACATTAAAAGACATTGCAATACTATCATCAACAATTCAACACAAAATCAACAAACTCAAGCAATCGCTTTGGAAGGATTTCCTGGGCACCTTCAACAGAATAACAAACACAAAACGCCTCTGGAGTACCATTAAAACTCTCAGCTGCAAACCAATTCAATACTCAAATATCACCATCAACTTCAACAACAGGTCAATAACAAATAACCTGTAAATGGCCAATTCATTCAACAAACTGTTCACCTCCGCAACAAAACATTCATCAAACAAACAAAATAGAATCATCAACAAAGCCGTCAAGAAACTTCCGCTTGACGATCACCCTACCATCACATCTAATCAGGTTGAAAAAGCAATTAGAACATCAAAACCGTCCAAAGCAACAGGACCGGACAATCTGACAATATTCCACCTAAAGCATTTAGGCCCAATAGGAATTTCCTTCCTAACCTACATTTTCAATGACTCCCTACGAACCTGTAGGATTCCAGAAATTTATAAAAAATCTAAGATCATCCCCCTACTAAAACCCGGCAAACCAGCTAGTGACGCGAAATCATATCGGCCAATATCTCTACTTTGTCCGGCAGCCAAAGTATTTGAAAAATGCCTATTGCCGATCATCTCACATTAGCGAGCCTCAACATGGTTTTCGTCCACTTCACTCAACAACAACAGCTCTTACTACGATGGTTACCGACATCGCAAACGGAATAAATCAGAAGAGGCCAGCTCATCGTACAATTTTAACAGTACTGGACCTCACAAAAGCCTTCGATACCGTTAACCATCGTTCCCTAATCTCAGACCTCCTACTGTCAACGCTTCCACGGTAAATTGTCCGCAGGCTTTCAAACTATCTGCACGGTCGCTTCGTCTCAACAGAGTTCCGTCGACAATCCTCAAAACAACGTGCCATCCATCCAGGAGTACCTCAAGGATCTGTATTGTCACCAGCTCTGTTCAACCTCTACGTCTCCAGGATTTCAACCCCGCCTCAAAACATCAAAGTCATTTCCTATGCAGACGACTTCACAGTCTGACCCACCGGCTCAATTGTTACCTGCCGAAGCTCTTTGACTTTTTCAACAACAGAAACTTGGAGATTTCCACCTCCAAGTCCACAGTCAACTCTTTTCACTTCACACACATCACAATATCATCACCATTTTTCAATCAAAATCAATAACAATCTCCTTCCTCTTGAGCAAAACCCTAAAATATTAGGCCACACCCTAGACACGATGCTTTCCTTCTCACAACACCATAAACAAGCAGCATCAAAGGCCTCTAAAAGAACCAATATCTTAAAGGCACTCATTGGTACTACCTTCGGTCAGGATAAGGAAACTCTTCTACAGACCTACAAAACCATCGGTCGTTCAACAATCGAGTATGCCTGTTCTACCTGGGCATCACTGACGTCAGATTCAAGTTTTTCCCGTCTCCAACGCTCCCAGAATGCTGCACTACGTCTGGTTACAGGTTGCCATATCATCGCATCAGAACACCTGCACTCAGAATGCCAGATGTTGTTAACGGTAAGGCAGCATTCAGAGCTAATAGCCTCACAATTTCTCCTCATATGCCATAACCCAAGCCACCTGTGCCATAATATCATCATACAACCTCGTCCTCATCGTGACATAAAGACCACTCTTCTCTCAAAATGGTCATCAACAATAACTGCGGTTCTACCGTCAACAATCGACGATAACACTCTGAAGACGGCTTTAAAAAGCCTACATACAAACACTACTAAAGCCGCTGCTGAGTCGTACCAGTCGTCGCTATTGCTCAATGGATGGCCTCTTCCAGCACCAAAAATAGATCCTTCAGAAGAATCATTTCCAAGGGCTATCGGACGGACTCTCGCCCAACTCCGATCTGGCCATAGTATTCTTCTAAACAGCTACAAAAACAGAATCGACAGTGGGCACATCAACACCTGTTCTTTTTGCAACAATCACACAGATGATGTTCAACATCTGTTTAGCTGTCCTCAAAACGCCACAGATCTTCAACTAATAGACCTCTGGAGCAACCCTGTTGCAGTGGCGGATTGGCTCCGACCTTGATAAACGCCACGGATCTTCAACAAATAGACCTCTGGAGCAACCCTGTTGCAGTGGCGGATTGACTCCGACCTTGATTGGAATCCTAAGGGCTCCCCGGAAGGGGCGACAACAACAACCGGTGTCAACTGATTTTACCAACAAATTGATATCAAATAACTGATCTATAAAATTGTCTCAAAACAATTTCAGGCTCTTACTAATCTTTAACAAATCGTAAATATTTTCAGAAACTTTTTGGATACAGTTGATATATTTAGTATGTATTGTGCACTCACAACAACTGTAATGAGTTGTCTTTTTACCTGGAACAGTTTTCGGACTTTAACACATTTATCATATTGAGCCATAATGCACCTGTTTAATCTGTACAGAGATTAAAATAACACAACAGGTTATTTTAGTCTATGAAATCACCTGATTGTAATTCTTTAAGACAAATTTTTGCATTTACTAAAAAATTAATAGGAACAAAAAAAATGTAGGCTGTTCACAACAAAATATACACTATATCCTAAATATATATATATATATATATATATATATATATATATATATATATATATATATATATATATATATATATATATATGCATACATATATTTGCTACTATTTTAAAACTTTTTCATAAAATTTTATTTAATGAGAATTTATTAAATATGATAATAATATAATTAGCATAGCGCTTATTTTGATTTACAGATGATTTTGTCAACACCAATTTAGAAAGCAAATATGGTTTTTTGCTTCAACCGGTGAAAGATCTGTCCAAAAATTTTAATATTGATCTTAATTTGCATCTTGAGGAATATCTCTTGGAGGTGCAAATCATTGATTTTCTAAAAATTAAATTTAACATCTTTGGTAGTTTATTTTTTTTCAAATATTTTTTAAATTAATTAATTTAAGTTGGAATCAGGAATTCTCTCCCAAAGGAAGGGATTTGATGGAGTAGATTTTATTGAAGCAGCTCTTATTATCAAAGGATCAGCATCTATTTATGCTAAAAAAGTTGACTACTTATACCAGCTCACTCAGCTTGCAATAAATACTTTGAATGGCATAGTAAGGTAATAGATACTTTGTTTTTTTTTAATGTTTTCACTATTGTTTTTTTATTTATATTTTACTTATGAAATCTACATTAGTCTTAATATTGCATAGTAAATCTTCGTATCAATGTGTCAAATTATATATATATATATATATATATATATATATATATATAATATATATATATAATTATAATTATCAAATTATATATATATATTATATATAATGTGTGTGTGTGTGTGTGTGTGTGTGTGTGCGCGCGTGTGTAAGTGCACTCTAGATGAGTTGGAAGTTTATGTTGGTGAATTACTGGGTTTCTTGAAGTTGTAAAGATGTTGGCTTAATCTAATTAGGATGATTTGAAAAAAATAGGAAAAAAAAGTCAAGTTAGTGAACGTTTTTATTGAAAGTTTGGAATTATTATGCATGTAGAAAAATTCTATTTCAAGAAGCTGCATTACTGTCACCTCAGCTGCCTACATCCACGAGTATTAATAAAAATCAGGAGTTTTAAGAAATAATTAAAAAAAATGCGAGGTTCAACTTATTAAAACAGTTATCAAAAGTGATTTGAATGAGTTGAAGCTAGTATTTCTGCTTTGTCTCAAAAAAGCATAGTGAGGTACTGGACGATATTTAAAAAATGTTCAAAAACTCGTTGACAATTTCTGGAAGTGAAATGGCCAATCCTAACCTAGCGAATGTTTCAGAAAACTTTTTGCAAAAAAATTTGAAATGTCAAAAAATCATTAAAACTATCAAAATAGAAATAGATGTTTCATCATTGTTGTTCCATGTGAATAATGTTTGCAGGATAATTTGCTGACCTTGAAAATATGGAATCATCAAAAGTCACTAACGATCCTAAGATATTGGAGAGAAGACAGAAGTTTCTATTATGTTGGCACTAGGAAAAAATGGGATATGTCTGACATTATCGATCACTCGAATTAACATTGAGACAGAAATGTTGTGAGTTGTGACAGCAAGCTATCCAATTCATGTGAAGCTATCAATATTTGAAAAGGAAGATCATGATCTAATGATCTAAATTCGCATGTTGTCATTGCATTTTGATTATACATTCATTTATATATTTTTGTTACTTGGGTTAATTTTATGTTTTCGTGATTTTTTTTAATAATTAAGTGATAGTTTCACTTGACTGATGGGTTTTGTTATGTTATGTTACGTTTTGTTATTTTTTCTTAGTAACAAGAAGAAGTCAGATGAAAAGCCAAACTCTGCAGGACAAAGTTCAGTTGGCTTGGAAGAAACTAAAGTTTGTTTTTTTTTGATAACTTGTTTTAACCATTTTAATTATGAGGGAAAGAAGTCTAGTATTATTCCTTTCTATTATTCAATCTTATTTTTCCATGTTTTATTAATTCAGTTATTTTTTTTAATTTCACAATATTCATTATTCATTCATTATTTTTTTTACCATAATCACTTAAAATATTTTTGACATTTTAGTCATTTTGTTGTTTTCTGGGTTTAGAATGATTATTTTGAAGTTACTGTTACAGAACATCAAAATTAAATAAAACATCACTTTGATTTTATATTATCAGTTTCTAGCATTGGACGATATGGAGACGAGCAAGAACACTTCTTGCAAAGAGGAAAACTTTGAAGTTCGTTTGTCAAACTATTTCACATTTCTAAACTTCTTTTTTGCTTCAGTTTTAAAATTACTGCTACTCTGATATTCGTTTCATTTGTTTCATTTCTTTGAAACGTTATGAATAATTGCTTTTGCAGGCTACATTTTCTGCAACGTTGCCAATTTCATTCCAAAAGTTGAAACCCCATGATGAAGGCATCAAACAATCCAGGTACGATTCAACACTACTTCCTCACTTTAATGTCTTCTACAATTTATATTTTAATCTTTTATTTTCAAGCAAGTTATGTTTTAAAACATTCGTCTAAAATTAAACAAAAAATAACAGTTAAATATTAATGTTTTAATAGTGAGGCTATTTCAAAAGAGTACGAATTTTTGATGCGTACCTGCCAGCTGGTCGATGGCCTACTTATAATCAACTACTCTGAAATGAACGAACTCATTCAATCAGCTGCAGACAAAAATTCAGGTGCCCCACCTGCATGTAATTTCATCATCATTATTATTGTCATCTTCGTTAGTAAGTCAACTTTACGCAATCAAAAATTTTTTCACACAACTCGCAAAACTTGCAGACATCACTGAGGCCAGTATCTTAAAATTCGTTAGGCAGTGCAGCTCAAATAGTTCATTTCAAAGCAATTTGAATAGTTTTTTCAGTTTCCTCATTTTAGCTTGCAGGGATGATTTAAAAATAGATTGACTGACTTGACTGTTCAACTATTGAAAAAAACTTAGCTAACGTGTATGCACTTCAGTTATATTAAAAAAATTATGTCTTATATGAAAATTATTTTAATAAGTTTAAGTTTTTGCAGCGACAAAATTTAAACATTGGCAGGTTATAATTTTGGGATTTTTGTCAAATTTGAAGTTCTCTCAGTTTTTTATTTGACACAGTTTGCTTTTGTGCTTAGTCTGCAGATGAGTTAATTTCATTTTAAGATGTTGGTGTTTCAGTTTGATGAATAAAATATACTTGATCAGATCTAACAGCAATGATTGAGTACAAAATGTTGTCAAGTTGTGCAAGTTGCACTGCTTCCCATTTGAAGGTGCACAGCTGAAGGACCACAATGAACATCCTTCAGATGGTGAGGCTCACCATTTTGATGGTCTCCTAAATGAGGATGCTGATGCTGATGAGAGTTCAATGAATGCTTCATTTAATCACGATGGTGATGATAACAAAGTCGACAATACTGTAAAGCCAGGTCTGTCTGTGTCTAAGTGTGCTTTTTTATATAATTATAGTGTGTATGTGTGTGTGTCTACTGTGTGTTTTTTTATGTAATTGTGGTGTGTATGTGTGTGTGTTAGTCTGTGTGTGTGTGTCTGTGTGTGTTTATTTTATATAATTGTAGTGTGTTTATGTGTATGTGTGCATGGTTTTTTATGTAGCTGTATGATGGTTTTGTTGCAAAGTCGCTAAGAACATGCATGCAAAACCTAAATGTTTTGATTTGCTAATTAATAACAATGTCGGAAATCAGAGGTGGGCTAACTTTTTGTTGTGAGGGCCACATCGAAAACTGTTTTAACTTTGGAGGGTCGTATATATATATACATGGAGTACATCGTCGAATCTACGAATAGGGTCAGTTGTGAGTCATAGAATGAACAATAAGTCTATCCTTGATGAGCATTTTCGTGCACATGTTCCACAGATCCATACACATGTACTATCGCCGCTTCGAGCCGTCTGTTTTCGTCGAATTATTTTTTCAGCAAGAGCAGCTGTACGTGCCAGTTCAAAAGCGGAAATTGCCGACTGGGTAGACCTTCTCCATTCCGAGCGTCGCAGAGTGTCCGCACAAAAAGCCTTGGGGTATAGACTACATTTTTTCATATTTTCTTTCACGTTGTCTTTGTGTCTACGTACAGGTGCATTTGCCAGTCGATTACCCGACGCTGGTTGACTAAAAAAGATTTGCTTGGTAATTTTTGTGTCTGGCATACGTATAACATGCCCTATCCAACGAAACTGAGTTTGAAGCAAAAGCGATTCTATACCCATTGTACCGCACTTTGCCAGAACCATTGTGTTTGAGACTTTGTCTTCCCGCCTGATGCCAGCAATCATACGCAGACACCTCATATAAAAAATAGTCGAGTCTACGAATGTGGCAACGGTAGAACGTCCAGGTTTCGCAGTGAAGTGAGTACAGCTGCTCTGTATACCGCAATCTTGGTGGCCAGAGTAACTCCGTGCTCTTTTCAAAGACGTCCAGATCAACATACCAAAAGCAGCACCTGCTTTTGCAAGCCTTGCATGTAATATCATCATCGATAGCTGCACTGTTGGAGATATCAACAGAATTGAGATGCGAGTCGTCCGCCATCACATGGGCCATTGCCCCCAACGAAACTGGGTAGCTCTGATGCAAGACCTCAGTTTTTTCCAGACTGACTGTAAGTCCAAATCTCTTAGCCTTTATATGGAAGCGGTTGAACAGCACCTGAATCTCGGCCTGTGTGTGTGCAGCCAGTGCACAATCATCGGCAAATAACAGCACCCACCTCTGCCTAAGATGATTACTGAGAGAATGGTGGCGAGAATGATGAAATATTGGCTAGGATTCACTTTTACGTACAGGCATCATTCCAAGCAATGAAGTTTGCCAAACAGATGAATATCAATCAAATAAACTGTATCCAAGCCAGCACAAGCCAACAAAACTACAGAAGGTGTGCGGGTTTGTGTGTGTGTATGTGTGTGTCTAGTCTGTGGTGTGTACTTATTTATTGTTAAAATAATAATGGTAATTTATAAAATTTTCACTTCCTTTGGTCAAATATCGCCTTTCATGAGTGTTTGTTTGCAACTGTTAATTGGACTGGCAACAACATTCCAGTAACTACGATAAGAAATAAAATTATTGAATTGTCTTTAATTTAGCGGCCAATGAAAGGTTCATTGAGAGGACTGCAGGTCTGTTCATGTATCTTTGTTTGCTTCGTTGGTTGGTTGGTTTATTTGTTTGGTCGCTTGTTTGGTTGCTTGTTTGGTTGGTTGTTTGTTTGGTTGGTTGGTTGTTTGTTTGGTTGGTTGTTTGTTTGGTTTGGTTTGTTTGTTTGTTTGTTTGTTTGTTTGTTTGTTTGTTTGTTTGGTTGGTTGGTTGATTGGTTTGTTTGTTTGGTTGGTTGGTTGGTTGTTTGGTTTGTTTGGTTTGTTTGATTGGTTGGTTGTTTGCTTGTTTGGTTGGTTGGTTAGTGGTGATATTTTTCTTTGTAATCTTTCTTCTTCTTCATGGGGGTTCTATATTTATTTCACCACTTATCTATACATACTCATTTTGCTTGCAACTCCATTCAATGAAGATGTTGGATGCTTACACAGTTGACAAGGAAAACACATGTCCTCTCAAAATAGGTTTGCTACAGGATTGATTGATTTTTATTTTTTAGTCTGTACGATTTTTGTTGTTTGTCGTCTTCCTACTCGGGCAGCTGGTTGTTACACTAAATGAGTGTCTATAATAAAATAAGTTTTACATTATTTGGTGTTTAAAATCCTTCATCTGCAATGCTGCATGGATGTTGTCTGTGGGTGAGCTGGCCACCCACTGACCATTGCTTGCAGGCATCATTAAATTTTTATGTTAATTAGCTTTTTTTCTCCATCATTTTGTCTTTGATTAATAAATCATTTTTCTTCCGGATCGCGTTCTCTTATGTGGTCTTCATTTTGAATGACTTCAGTTTGTTTTGTATCTGGTGATTGTTTAAACCTAATGTCTTTTACAGAAAATCTGTTCAGAATTTAATCACCTCGTCACTTTGCACCACCACAAACTGCTAACGTGGTGCTTTTCTTACTAACTTCAATCTTTTTTTGCAGGCTACAAAATTTTTTCAAAGTTTTCTGAACAGATTTAGAATTAGAATACATTTGAAAATGCATATAAGGCGTCTGTTTTTTATTGACGTCTGAGGCAATGTCCACCAGTATTTATTAAAATAACCTCAAGACCGCATCTTTTTGTCCAATGTATGTACAGAGCTCCTTCAACGAAGATGTTTGTTCTTCTTTGTTATAATTTCACTTCCTATGTTCATTTAACTTATGCAACAAGAACTTCTATGTGACAGCTCACCGTAAAAGCCATTTGCGCTGCAACAACTTTTTTGAATAATAATAAATTTATTATTTTTGTACCTTTAATGCACTGGTTTATTTTACAAATTGTCCAGGAAGACCTTACCGGGACGTCCAAACAGAAGAAACTTTGAAGGAAGTGCCGCCGAGGAAGGCATTGCAGTCTCTCCTCTCCTTCCAACAAAGTTTCCTATTTTCCAATTTCACCATTTGTTATTTTCTTATTGAAGTAATCCAAACCATGAATTGTAAACTCTAACTATCAGTCAATCCATCCATCCTACCGTCCATCCATGTATCATATCATCAATCAATCAATCAATCCATTCATCTGTCCATCCATGCATCCTATTGTCATCAATCTATTCATCTGTCCATCCATTTATTTCGATACAGTAGTAGCACTGGCATTTTTTGTAATTGTTTTAAATATTATTTGATTTGTATGTTCGTTGAGCAAATAAATATGTCATGAAACTTATGCAGAGGAAGTCTCAAACTCTTCAGTACGGACATTCAAATCACACTGGATGGATGCTGCATGTATCAACTTTGTAAAGGCAAATCAACTTCTTTGTTTATTTGCATCAGTGTCCGATCGGTTTGATGTTTGGCTGGTAGATTGATTGATTGTTTCATCAATTGGACAGTTTATTAGTTTTTTTTTAATTTATTCTAGGTTAGTTTAGCAAGTGTTATTAATCGTTTGGATTATTCTGCATTTTGCAGGAATGCCAGCCAGAAAGTTCTAACAAAAGCAGGAGATATTCATCCACACCCCTAGAGGCTGACCACGGTTAAGATTGGCGAGCATGATTGACTGCTATTTAGTTGTAAAACTGAGTGAATGGATTAATCAGCAATGCAACTCAATCGTAGCTGCTCATTATGCATCTGATCCAATTCTGCTGGATAGCTTCGTAGATATTTTCATAATAGGTGAATGAATTAATACTTGGATAGAAAATAGAAATCTGTAGAAAATGCTTATTTGAAATTTTGCAAATAACTAAATGAAAAATCAAGTAAATTGATCCATGTTCATTGTTAGTAATTGAAATCAAACCAAGAAAGTGTTCAACGATGGCTTTAAATTTTATAATTTCTTGTTTTCATTGACTGTAAAGTGCTGACTGCTTTGGTTTGGACTGCATGTTAATCTATCCATTTACTGCTGCAGACATCGGTGAGAGCGACGATGATGTCGACGGTTGCGGCGAAGTTGAAGGATGCCATGATGCTCATTTGGATGACGATCGGAAGCCACAAATGAATGGTTTGTCTCTGTTAGATTTTATTATTCGTCAACATTTTTTATTTATTTAATTCTTTTTTTTATTATTATTATTACAATCAATCAATATTGCGAGGGACCGCTGAGGTTGGTGTCGTGCACCTTTCATGAATCCATTGCTCCTCCCCCAGTTTATCCAATTTCTCGGCGGGTTTTCCAACTTTTCTTTTCCGGTGCCTCTTCCTCATTAGTTCAGTTGTAGTTGTCGCTCGCAGTTCTGTAAATATGCCCAGTCCGAGTTTTTTATTTTGACCTGTTCATTTGTGCTTTTGTGTCCTCCCAGTTGGTTTCTACTGCAGCAATCTGTTCTCTTCACTGACCATGCTTCTTCATTATTGTTGTTGTTGCTGCTATTATTATTATTATAATTATTATTCAGTGAAATGTAATTACTTTTGCATCCGGTTACATGTTTTTCATTGTAATAACAAGTAGAGTTTTTCAAATAAAAAAGTTCTTCGTTCCATGTGATTAAATACGTTTTGTCATCACACGAAGAATATTTAGCCGTAGAGTTAAGGATAAGAACTAATTTTGTGTTCATGTTTCATTTGACAAAATCTTATATGGAGGGCACATATCCACACACAGACACACGCACAGTGGAAAAGCTTCTTAAATGATGTCAAGTCATTCAATCTAATTCAATGCACAAAAACATGTGCTTGAAATGTAGCCAGAGCTTGCGAGGTAACCGGGGCGCTCTGCAGATTATCATTATTATTATTACCTCTGTTATTATTATTCTTATTATTACTATTATTATGCTTTTTCGCTCTTCAATCCTTTTCTTCAAAGTTTTGATACAAGGATTGAATCCACATTTGGTGATCTCTTGCTTTCTCTTCTACTTTCACAGGTTCCTCGCCGTTTTTAAATCGTGGAACTGTTTGTATTGTTTAAACTTTTGGGTTTCGTACAAATGCCGCTGCTGGGCTTTTATTTATGGAAACAAGCTTTCTATCTCTTTTCTAATCTGTAGAACCATCTTTTTTTTGATTGAACCGAAATATTCGATTGCCGCTAACTTTGCAAGAATGTTTTCATATACACTGATGAAATCTTTCATCTGCTGATATGATTTCAGTCAGCTAATGTTCTACGGTTCTCAAGTCGATGAACTGATTTGAACAAAATCGAATTGAAAATAATTCATATTAAACTTAGATCATTTCAGATTTAATCCCGACATTAATTTTTATTTTTTTCCAATGATAACTCATGACTGATTTGAGTAAATGCAAACATGTTCAAATCTTTTTTGCTCAGATGTCTTTGAAAGTTCTTACGAAAGTGCCATTAAAAAACATTTGGTAAGTAGAATGTTACATTTGGTGATGTTATATGTATAAACATGCGCTTGAATGATACCCCATTGATACAATGCTGAACAGGATCAGTTCATATTAAATGCAGAGTGTTACGCCAAAACAACGGAACTTTCTCGAAAAGTGATGGAGTGGGAAGATAAGATATTACCGTGTTTGCTTGAGCAGGTTGTTCTTATTAATTCTTTATTCGCGTGTTGTGTGTTCTTTCATCGCATTCATTGAAATTTTAACAATTCATTATTATTCATCAATACCAGCAACATTCACCGTAAGATTATTCTAATTGTTTATACTCAAAACCGAACAACGTCACTTAGTGAAGACACATTAACAAACTCACTCAAAACCTATATAAATAGACACAAAACAAAATCCGTATTCAACGCTGGTGATGACAAATTATTGTCGAAAATGCAAAAAATGATTAAAATTGTCTATGAACTGAGCAAACTTTACAATGAACGTCATAAATATATATATATTATTGATAAAAATCACAGCATGTTCGGCGTTAGTTAACTTCCAGAAAAATCGAAAAGTTAAATTGGAAAATCGGAAGTTAACTAACGCCGAACATGTTGTGGCTTTCATCAGTAATTGCATTTCTGACAGTTTTAATATCCAATATATATATATATATATATTATTATTATTATTATTATTAAAGAAAAATTTATAAAGCGCAAATTAAAAGTTAAAATTCTCAAAAGCGCTATCTAATATCAATAAAAAACAAATGAAATATAAGTGAGTCAGCAATGCAAACATTAAAAAATGTAACAGAAATAATTATAACAAAAATAAATGAGTTTTCAAATTCTTCTTAAAAGCTTCAAATTTCATCCCCAGTGCTCTCAACGATCTCGGAAGACTGTTCCATGCAACCGGTCCTGAAACTGCAATGTCTCTTGATGCTTTCTGTAACTGAGTATCAGGAACAACCAATATAATGCCATTGTCTGATCTCAGGTTCATACCACTCGACATTACTGGTTTAATTTTAATTTTTTTCACTAAATATTCTGGGAGCAAACCGTGAATAGCTTTGTACATTAGAACACACTGTTTATATACAATTCTTTTCCTGACTGTAAGCCAATGGAGGTCATTTAAAATTGGCGTAACATGATCATATTTTGAACTACCTACAACAAGTTTGGCTGCTCTATTCTGAATAGACTGAAGGGAAGCAATAGACTTTTTTGACAATCCATAAAATAAACCATTGCAGTAATCCAGTCTTGAATGCACAAATGCATATATTAAAGCCTGTGTTGTCGACTGATCCAGTGATTTACGTATTTTTTTCAATCTATGCAGCTGTATGGAACACGATTTTGTCAGCATTTTTACATGATCTCTCATCATCAAACCTGAATCAAGAATGCAACCCAAATTTGCTGCCTTGTTGCAAAACGTAATACTCTCATTCTGTATCATGACTGAATCAATACTGAGTTTTGACATTTGTTGCCAAGTGCCAATGGGAAGGAATTGCGATTTATGTTGATTCAGTTTGAGACAGTTGTTTGACATCCATTCATCGACTCTGGTCAGACATTCAACAAGTTTGTCTATCTCTCTCTGAAATGTATCCGGATTACCACTAATTACTATTTGAATATCATCTGCGTGAGCATGGTACTTAAAACCAAAAATATCAATATTTTCGAAAAGCTCTGCAGTGTATAGCACAAAAAGTAACGGCCCCAGAACCGAGCCTTGCGGTACCCCAGAAGACATTGTGCCCACATCAGACAATACACCATTAAAAAGAGCTTGTTGAGTTCTTCCCATCAGATATGATCGTAGCCATCTAAACACAGTACCAGAAATTCCGAAATCATAAACCAGTCTGTCTAAAAGTATCTGGTGGTCAACACAGTCGAATGCTGCACTCATATCTAAAAACGTTACCAGAGCAACATGCTGTTTGTCAATTGCAGCAAACAATTCCGATAATACATACATCAAAGCAGTTTCTGTTGAGTGGTGACGTCGGTACCCAGATTGATATACAGGCATCAATTTACGTTTATTCAAGTGGGTTAGAAGTTCTGTAGCCACAATCCGTTCAATAATCTTAGACATGAAACAGATGTTCGAAATTGGTCTATAATTTGCCATATCATTTTTATCTAAATGCAGTTTTTTCAAGACTGGTAGAACAACCGCATGCTTACAAAGTCGAGGAAAAATGCCACTCGTTAGGCTTAAGTTCACAAAACTTGTAAGAAAAACAATAAACAGGTCCACATATTTCTTGAAGATATGTGTTGGAAAAGCATCTGATATACAAGTTTTTGATGGCAGACCAAGTATAATTTTTTTTCACATCAGTTTCTGTTAGTATCAAAAAATCAGACAACAAACAATCATTATCTAGCTTGATTTGATCAAAAACTGGCCTATTACCAACATTAGTAGTTTGCCTGATTTTTTCAATTTTATCATCAAAAAACTTCATGAACTGAGAAGAATCTATGGAAACATTATCGTAAGACATATCATTATTGCTTTGTTTACAAAAAAGTTTATTTATAATATCCCATAAATTTTTAGGAGCACTGCGATTCACCATAACTAAATTTTTCCAATAAGCTTTTCTTTTTTGAGAAAAAATCTTGAATTTATTCTTTAGAGCAGTAGTCCATTCATTTCGATACACAGATAGCATACAACGCCTATATTTTCGTTCCATTTTGCGACAATACCTTTTAGCTATTTTGCATTCTTCATCATACCATGGAGCAGTAACATCACATCTATATTCAACGATATGAAGAGGTGCAATTTTGTCTGCAAGCCTTTTAAGTTCTTCGTTTAAATTATCAAATTCAATATCAATATCATTACTTTGGCAAGGTTTCGATAACAACGAGTTTTTGACATACATAAACAGATCATCTTCATTTATACGTCTCCAAGATCTAACCAATTTACGAGCCTTTTTAGGACATCTGCGCATCAGTGGTAGTCCGGCATGTATCAAACTGGTCAGAATGAATGTCAGTGGGAAAAATTCTAATGCTTGTGACAAGGAAATCCTGTGAACAAACTATTAAATCAAGTATGCCACCAAGACTATGAGTTGGCTCATTTACAAAGTTCCTCAAATTAAACGCTTCGAAAATTTCTATCAAATTGATGGCATGACGATCATCTGGTCTTTCCACATGAACGTTAAAATCACCTGCTAACAGGATATTTGAATTTAAAACAGTTATATTTTTCAGCAAACAAAAAAGTTCTTCAAAAAACAGTGAGTTCACATTTGCTGAACCTGGCCTATAAAAAGCCAACAAAATAAAATTTATTCCATTTATTATAAAATTAACAGCAACAGTTTCAAACGTAGTAAATTTAGGAAGATCAATAGTTTTGTATTTAAATTGCATTCTAAAAAATATAATTAGTCCTCCGTGGAATGGATCATCTACTCTAAGGAAATCTACGTATCTATAGCCTGGTGGCATTGATAACTTCACTGAAAAATTATCTGATGAACCGTGCCAGGTTTCAACCAAAACAAAAATGTCCAATCCCTCTTGAATCAATTGGTAAACAACATCAGACTTTGAAACAATTGATCTTATATTTAATAAACCCAAAATAATATTAACATCTTTCTTTATATGACTGCCTGTTAAATCAATCTTATTCATATTTAATTCGCAAAAACTATTTATTGCACCAATCTTTTGGGGAATTTTATTATTCTCCATTTTCCTACCGTGCCTCTTACTCTGTATAAAAAACCCTTAATAATTACTTGTTTCTTTATATCAAATATCTTACATACCTTATATATAATGCACTGAAGATGAGTTATTTATAACTCGAAATAGCTATTTGCAAATTTATTTAATACAATTTTTTTTAAAAAACAATAAAATGTCTAATTTCTAATATATATATATATATATATTTCTGTGTCTCCCAGTTTCGTCTAAATAAATTT